AGGAGGCCCAACTGACACACTTGAGACTCCTGGTCATGCAGGGGCCTGTCATGATTTCCAGGATCAAACTTCAAGTAATTTCCCTGTCCCATGCTACACAGGTGTAGGTGTGTGTGTGTAACTTTGATAATACTCTTACTTTAATATTACAGTAAGCCTATGACTTACAAATAAGTTCCAATCCAGGAGTCATTAGTAAGTCTGACTCTTACAAATCTTTGACACAAATATATAATATAAAGCATTAAAAAATCCAAACCAGAAATGCTGGCACATGTCTGTAATCCCAGCACTTGGAAGGCTAAGCCAGGAGAGTTGCCATGAGTTGGAGGCCAGCATGGGCTACATAGCAAGACCCTGTCTCAAAGAACAAAAACCAAACCAAACAAAAAACAAATCTCACCACCACTGCTTTCTGTCTTCCGACATCCTGAGCTGACTGAACACTGTGCCTCTGTACACTATTGCACCATATGGTCGCCACAGGCAGCATCTGTGATCACCAATTATTTGGCAAGCTATTATAACGTCCAGGAGACACGTGAGTTACTGCCACGATTTGTTCAAGTCTGTATGACTTGAGATCCTTTTGTATCTGTGAAAGTTCATAACTCAGATGTTCATAAGGTGGGGACTTACTGTGCATTATTGTTTTTAACCCTTGTGAGTCTCATCTATTTCAGTATCTCCATGAGTAGAAACCTGGGCTGCTGCTTCTCTGTGATTCTTCAAGCTCTGAGCTGACTCTGCAGGAAGTTGAGGTTCTCTTTATGTTTGCGGAATCAAGTGGAATTTTTTGGAGGAGCATAGTTCCGGCCTCTGGGAAGTGAATACCATTTGTCCTTCCCTCACACTCCATCCATTAGTTGCTTTGCTGGAGAACAGCAACAGTCTGCCTGTGAGAACTGATGTGAAAGTCTTGAGGTGCCAAGCGTTAGTATCCCAGGCAGAGGACGCAGGATATGACCTCAGTGCTCAGGAAGTGTGATCACCAGTTATTTGGCAAGTCCATGCCGCCTCTGCCATGGGCTCAGCAGTGCGCTAGGTACAGTTGTACTTAGAGGTGTAGATGGAATGGCATAGCCATGCACTCTTGCAAAATAAGAAACAAGTCTGTCGAAGCATGGTTGCCTGTGTGCAGGGCCATACAGCACTCATGAGCAGGTGTAGGCGAAGGTGTGACAGAGCAGAATTAGTGTCTTGATAGAGAGAAAGCAAACCATACATGTAGCCTGGATCCAAGTGCTGGGCTCCTCAGCAAATTTGGAACCCAGAGATTTTTACTCAGAAGCCTCAGTGGGAAGCTGGGGCGTAAGCATCAGTGGCCAGGATGTAGAATAGTAGAGAGAGACATGGGCTGTGGAGTCAGCCTGGCCCAAGACCTGTTCTGCCATGTGTCATGTGTATGACCATGGGCAAATCACTGAAGCTCATGGTCCTTAGCTTCTGAAAGAGAATAGATGACAAAAGTACTCGTCTCATGAGATAGGAATGATTTGCAAGCACAAAGCCTGTCCACACATAGTAAATCCTCAACAATTGGTAGTCTCTTTTCTCTGCATAGTCCTCAGGCGCCCCCTGGTACCTATGCTGTTGGGGGCACACAGCCTGATTCTCCAAAGCACCATCCACGTTGCATGGGTTGGTTGATATCATTTCATTGAGTGCCAAGACCTCAGTGCTGTGAAGGACTCAAAGAGCTCCCAGTCTAATCTGCTATACAGCTGAGGTCATTAAGATCCAGAGACGTAAAGTAACTTGGCCAGGTCCATGGTAATGCCTGTGAGAACCGATGCTAGGCCTTCTGACCCTCTAGTTCAGATGTCCTAAGACAAAACCACAGGAGGGAGGAAGCAAGGGAACAGATGGGGAGAATACAGGAATAGGAAGATACATTACATGGGGACAGGTGGGGAGACAGATGTCCCCTACAATATGGGGAAGATAGGATGAAACAGAGACAGACAAAGCACAGGTGAAGAAAAGTTTTAATGACAGCAGATAGAAAAAGAAGTTCAGCTGGGATAAGAGAAGGAAGCGGAGGATGTCCCAGTTACTTTCTTCTTATTGTTGGGACAAAATGCCTGATACCCAAAAGTAAGAAAGGAAAGGTTTATTTAGCTCAGTTAGTGGAGGTGTCAGTTGATACTCAGCCGGCTCCAAGGCAGAGTGGCATATGGTTCATGGTTACAGAAAGAAACAAAAGAAGGAGCAGGGGCTGCAGCAGCTAGCAAGCCTCTTTCCCTTCCCCATACTGTATGCAGATTACCCACCCCAAGGTGGGTATAGCACTCACACCTACAATCCCAGCATTAGATCATGAATTAGTCACAAACACTGGAAGGCCACCTCGATGACAAGAGGCTTTGGGGGGAGAACTAGACAAACCGTAACGGAGGGATACGAAGAAAGAGAAAGATTAGATCCTTGCTGGAAGGCAGGGAGCCCCTGCCTGCCTGATATCTTACCCCATTGCAATTTTGGGAGTAGTCCTTGCCCAGGTAGGAGTATCCTCCCTTTGACAGAGGGAAAAAAGTGAAATGCAAGCCAAATGCAGTGTGAAGGATTGCACTGAAACATCTGCTGCCGAAGCCAACCTGACACCTTCCCCGCAGGTCCCAGCAGGTGTATTTGAAGTTTTCTTCCCGCTGTTGTGCTGGGAGAGGGAAAGAAATCTTGTGTAAGACTGGAATTTGGGTTCATAAAGCTGAAGAAAGGTGTGCATAGGGTATATCAGCCCTCTACTGTTGCTCATGGTATAATTTTCATCCTATTCTTTTGCCATCTTAAAATAGATCAATACTGAAAAATAGCTACGTTTAGGGGAAAAAAAAAGCATCCCATGACAGTATCAGCCAATCTCCCGTTGCACCCGTTATTGCCCCCTATCTCCTTTGGCTCCCCAGGTGTATAAAAAGGCTTTTGAGCCCAGCTGCACTTGACTTGTGGAAGAGCAAGGAGTAACTAGAAGATTGTGCTGTGAGATAAAAATTCCATTCTATTTTTAGTAAGCCAGAGTGACTATTTTCAGAGCACCCCTTGCAGGCCGCTCAGTTCGGCCTCCTTTTTATTCTTTGCCTTTCATTTTTTGCAAGAATAAATCTTGAAAGTGCTTTTGAAACACCTGTGGTATACGAGGTGAGCTGGAAGTCTTTGCCCTTGAGCATAGACCTATGCATCTGAAGGCTTGCTAATGAGATGCTACTGTGTGTTCAGGGTCAAAGAAGCAAAACAACACTGAGCTGTTGAAGTCAAGAGTGGATAGGTCCGTCCTTCATCCTGGAAGCACAGGCAGGAAAAGTTCAGGGTGATCCTGGACTCTGGCTAGAGTTTAACCTACAACTCTAGGTGTCTGGTCTACCTAATCTCAGCTCCCTGACCCTGGATGTCTCTCGTGGTTAAGCCTCACCCAGCCACTGGGGGTCCTGAGAGGAGGCCAACACAAGGCTGCTCTGAGTCCCAAGTTCAGATGGTCCCTTCTTAAATGGTGTCTGACCAAATGCTCTCCAGGTGATACTATGCTGGGGTCACTCACCAGCTGTTGTGCACAGCATCCACTGCTCTGTTCCGCCAGGGCTTTTGTTCATGGAGGCCTCTAGGAAACTCACCTTCACCATGTCTGTAGCTTCAAGCCTCAGTGCTCATGCTGAGTCAGTAGTCAGGGACAAAGTGCAGTTTGTCATCTTTTCTTCCACACTGAGTCCATCTGCTCACTCCCCTATGAATTCCTAAATAGACTACAGACTAGCTCCTAAAACATGCTTAAGTAAATGCAAAGAAATGGAAATGATCCCATGCATATTACCAAATCACAATGAAATTGGAACTCAATGGCAAAAGAAACCACAAAACCTGCATATACCCGGCAAACTAAAACCCTCAACAAATGAGTCATAAAGTAATAAAGAAATTTTAATAAAATTTTAATAAATAGTAACCTCCCTCATATGCTGTAGTTTGAATTGTTGAATTTTTATAGGCAACCATCTGCTGACTGTGAAATGATCTCTCTTTGGCTGGCATAAGAACTCACAGAACTGTGGGTGATGCATTAAGGACAAACCCAGGATGATGATTCAGAGGCTGCATGAAAGGAAGTTTATTAAAATCTGTGGGAGACCATGGTTTAGCAGGGCCACCTTCACTGGGCCCAACAAACCAACACAGATTTTAATCCCAGTACCTGTGTTATCTCATTAGGCTGTTGACACGTGACTGCCTCAAACTGAGGCAATTAAATTCATTACTTCACTTTCATTGTTCTATAATTCATGTTGCTGGAATTCTCAGAACTTGATTTATAAATTCTTTTTAATTTCTCTTTGTCCTACCTGGCCTAAGGAATTCTTCCTTTTACCACTGGGGAAGGCTGATATTGCCACTGATTCCAGTTGGACTAAGTATATGAGCTTGTCTGCCTGTGATCAAATAAGAAAGTGGACTCATCAAATTCACAGCTGCTGCTGAGAAGCAGAAATGAGCCGACTCCTTGCAAGACAGCCAGCTCTTAAGTGAAAGACACAGCAGTCACCCTCTGCCCTATAGCCTGTGAACATCAGCACTTCTAGGAGCCAACACCTTTAGGACAGTTGGACTTTTGTTTCTGTACTACTGGGGATTGAACTCAGGGCCTTTGCATTGAATTACATCTTCAATCTGCCCCACACTCTATCACCCCAATTCTGAAAAAGGGTCTCATTAAGTTAACAAGTTTCCCAGACTAGGCGTGAACTTGTGATCCTCCTGCCTCAGCCTCCCAGGGTTCTGGGATTACAGGCTTCTGGTATCATACCTAGCACTCTGAAGGAGGTAGAGCCAGCAGGCACTACATATTTTAGCTTTTTATTCCCGAAAACTTGTCTCACCTAAAAGAACAAGCTGTTTGCGGCAGCGCACATCTATAATCTCAGCACTCTGGGTTTCCAAGGCTGAAGGATCACAAGTTGGCGACCAAACCAGCTAACTTAGCGAGACTATCTCAAAATAGAAAAGAAGGCTTGGAACATAGCTCAGTGAAAAGACCCAGCATTCAACCCCCCAGTATTACAGACACACAGCAAAGTAGATTAGTCCCAACTAGAGACAGAGTCTGTCACAGTTGTGCCTAACAAATACCAGTAAACAAAACAAAGCACAAAAACAAAAACAAAAAAAGCTTATTCAAGCTCATTTCAAGCTGGTAATTTGCTGGAGCCCACATATCCTCAGTGTCTTCATGTAAACGTAGCTGAGGCACTCAAACTGCAAGTCTACTCAAATATGCTTCCCAAGCGGCTTTTCTGTACATCTCTGCAGCTTCCAGGCGATTGGGTGCAGAAAGTATGCCCCGGCCCACAATGATGATGTCAGAACCTCGTCTGCCAATAACTTCTTGGGGACTGTTGTACTGTTGGCCAAGATGATCTCCTGCAGGAAAACAAGTTACTTAAGACACAAACCCAAGAAACTTGGCACACAGCATAATAATCATCTAACCAGCTTTCAATAAAAACATACTCCTGGGCCAGCCAGATAGCTCAGCAGACTAAAGCGCAGCGACCGGGTTCCTTCCCTGGTGAGCCAGGGCATGATGAGATGGTGAGACTGGGTGTGCTGGTGCGAGTGCCTGTAATCTCAGCTCTTGGGAGGCTAAAAACAGGAGGATCACTAGAGTCCAATCTGTGTAGAGAGACCCTATAGACCCTGTACTAAATAAAAAGAAAAAAAACCCAAAAAACAAAAAACACACTCCTGCTTTCTACCTTTCTTTTTCAGAGCAAGAGGGCAATGACAGAGGCAAGGAGACTCAAAGGTCAGCCTGAGCCCTCCACAGTTAAAAAGATGCCAAATGACTCCTTCCTGGTGCCAGGAAGTCCAGAACACTCACAGTTCAACAGTGGCAAAAAGCAGGTAAATGTTCTCTATGGCTGAGATACAGCAGTATTTGGCCTCACACTGCAAGGAAATGCTAATATTTCTCTTTCTCACTGTGATGCTCAGTTATGAAAGGCCTAAGGAAGGCATCTGACCTGACCACCCCCATATATGCGAACCCTTCTCTGCCCCCCAAAGTAAGTACTCAAAGACCCTGGACAAACCCTAAGCCTTAAAGGGTGGGTAGTTCTTTACTAAATGCTGCCATGGGAGCAGCATTCTGTGAGATGGCTTATGATGCTCTACACATCCCTCAAAGCCGAGGTCTTAACTGTCCTAGCTAGCCCAACTGTAAGCCTCCAAGTAACAGTGCCAAGGACAGAGCACGCAGCCAGTGCCAAGACTGAATTAGCACAGATGCTCCACACATCTGGACATCTCTACCTTGTAATGCTACCAGTACCACCCTACACACATGAAACCTGGACTAGTAGCCCCCTGTACAGACTGGGAAAATAAGATTAAAGGTGGTTGTCTGAAGATGCATGCTTACCAAATGGAAGGTCCAGAAACTCATATCCATCCGACTCAAAACACTTAGCACAAACATCAAGCTTAACAAAAATAACAAGGGTGGGAAATGGAGCCCAGGTGTAGAGCTGGCCTGGCATGTGCCAAGACCGTGGCTTTGATCCCGAGTACCACAAAGTAAACAAAGCCAAACCATGAGTTCTCAAAATACTATACAAACATTATGAGCCTTGGGGGGCAAATCATGCTGCGCAGGCCCCTCAGAAATGTGAGAAATCTGAGCTGGGGAAACAGCATGGGAAATTCAGTTTTCTTTCATTCTACTTAATTCTTACTGGCCTGTTTTTCTCATTACTGTTCTGCAGTACATAAAGTACTTCAAGCCACAAGGCAGCTCCTCTTCCATAAGTGGTGTCGTATTATCTACATAAAGTAATTATTTCCTAATCAGGGGTATCAACTAGGCCTAGTATTTATAGAGTTTAAAAGAAAACCAAGGTTTTCTAACTTTCCCAGTCTCAAGCACTACCCCTTAACCTGCCCTGTGAGGCAGTGTCCACGCCTTCAGTATCTGCATGGCTTCCCCACAGAAAGTGCTCATCTCCAAGGAGCTGGTGTCTATGAGAGTGTGCCAGAAATAATCCACATGCACAAAAACACCTACAAGGGGGTTCCATGTTTGTAAGCAACTGTGCATGCACGAGAAGGTTCCAACACACTGAGGCCCAGCTGCAGGAAGGGAGACAGCAGGCTGTGGAGGGCACAAAGTGACTCGCTGTGGAAAGGTGATACAGAAGTCACTCTGCACGCTCTCCACATGTGCGATTCACATTATACCAGCTGCCTGGCTTGCACTGGAGGAGGGGAGACGAGGGAAGGGAAGGTGTGATGGAGGGGCAGTGCGACTTAACAGGCATGAGGACTATGACAGTCTCCCTCCCCTTAATACTTCGAAAGCTATCATTTGAGATTTGCAATGGTAGAAACCAGAGCTGCCAATCTGACAAATTCCAGTGAGCAGGGCTATTTGTCTCTGTACAGTCTCATACACTAAGAGAGTCCTGATCATGGTTCTGGTCCCCCAACTGCTTGAGCTTAACCCATGAAAAGGGTACGAGACAGAAGGTGGGCTGAACCCGTTTCAGCAACAGATTAGAATCATCCTTTATAATTCAGAGAACACACTCTTTCTAGGGCTTTATTTCTTTCATTCAAAACTACAATAGCTAGGGCCGGCCGGCCAGATAGCTCAGGGGACTAAAGATCCTGCTTAGGCAGAGTGCAGCGGCTGGGGTTCGATCGCTGGCATGCTGTGCTGGCCTTGGCACCGCCCCCCATGAGATGGCCATTGAGACTGGGCATGGTGGCACAAACTTGTAATCCCAGCTCTTGGAAGGCTGAAAATAGGAGAATCACTACAAGTCTGGTCTATGTAGTGAGACCCTGTAGAACCTGTACTAAATACATTAAACAAACAAACTAGAATAGCTGAAATGGGCATGGTGGCACACACCTGTAATCTCTGCACTTTTAAGGCTAAGGCAGAAAGACTGCTACAAGTCTGAGGCCAGTCTGAGCTACACAACAAGTCCAGGCCAGCCTGGACTACAGAGTGAGACTGTGTCTAAAAAAAAAAAAAAAAAACCCACAACACAAAAACAACCGCCTGCCACCGCGGGTGGCAAACTGCCCCCGCAAAACCCAGAACAGCTCTCTTGAGTCCTGAAGGACATTTAAATATGTAAACATAGGTATGTTGGTGCTGGCTACTGAGCACATATGCTTACCAATGAGCTCCCCCACACTTAAATACATATATTTTTATAAACTACATTACTCCCTTACTGAGCAGAAGAACATCTACAAAGGACCAGCACTGCCTTTTGCCTCTATAAAGACACAGGACTTTGCCTTTTAGACTCGGTTTTCCAAACTTGAGCGCAGCACCTTTGGCAGCACAGTCAAAGCATCAACTAGAAAACATTAGCCTTTTAAAAATGCCGCTTTCCTTGACATTTTTTTTTCTTGATATATTTCAGGTAGCTTTCTATACTTTTCTCCTGAAATCAGTCTGCAAACTGTTTTGCAAGTATAAGACAGCTATCACCAGGCCAACGAGCTCATTGGCCATTATTTAGGCTAAGAATGCTTCTCTTTAGCAATTTTATACTAACATGCAAAACAGTATTTTGCCTCACAGGGTAAAAAAACATTTCCCGAAGAACCATCTGATAAGACTGCTAATGCAGAGATGGCCTGGCCTCTCGAGGAAGTCAGCAGAAAGAACAGCCATCAGAACTGTGGCTGGAGGTGCATCTGAAGACCAGGCTTCAAGGTAGAGATACAACAGGCAGACCCACACGCCTCCCTAAGCGATACCGAGCCTCCAGTGTGCCGCCGAGAACCTGCAACTATCTGCAATTAGCACCACCTGGTCCAGGAAGTCCTGGTAGGCATCAGCGGCCCAGGTGGGTGACCAGGGCACCTGGCCTCATCCCTTCCCAGAGCCCTTTGTTCTTTCCTTGCAGCCTTCTGTGTGACCTGCTTCCCTATCAGACCAACATGAGCTACGCAGCTAGTCCCATCCACACTGTGACTTGTGTAAGTCACCCCTGACAAAGGGCCTTCGTGGCAACCTGCTTTTAGGTCCCTCCCTGTTTCTCAGGAGACATCTCCCATTAAACCTTTCCTTAACCTACTCTTAACCTCCTTTGTTCCTTACAGTTCATTCTGATTTCATGGGACACACACTCAGTGTACCCGACATCTGGCAGGTTGGGAGTTCTACTTCCCCTGTATCATCTGGAATTGGCACAGAGATAATTAGAAGGAGGCAAGAGTTTGCTGTTGTTCCATGGCACTCCTACATATTTTGACGGATTCTGGATTGTGACTCATTTAGGTAATCAGAAACTATCATCTGTCCTTTGCTGGTTGCTTCTGCATTTTGGTGGCTTGAGCCATGTTACAAGTTGAGAGCAGGGAATTCAGTGGATCTGACATCTACAATGTGGACTGGGACTGGGAGTTGTTGAAGACCACAAATTGATAATAGCTAGTTTTCCTTATGCCCCTAAGGCATGGAGGTTTGGGACTTTGATATCACCCTTCTGAGATTTTCCATTATACCTTTAGGGGTGGGCCATCCTCTCCTACTAATAAGAGTAAGACTGTAAGACTAAAGACATTCCAGGGCAAGATCCTTCTCCACATAAGACCACTGCTGCCCTGAGTCCAGTAATTCCCTCCTCAATCAATAGATGCCAACGTTCTGGCCGTTTCATGGACTTTTGTTCCCCGTGAACAACTGGTCATCCTAGATCCCTGCTGCTTGCTTTTTCTCTTGCTCTTTCTCTCTTCGCATGCACCGAAACTCCTGGCAGGAGACTGGAGGCTCACTGTAGGGGTCCCTAATATGGAGTTATATTTCTCCTATACCATTATGACCATTGAATAGACCTACCTCCTGCTTCCAGTTGAACTCCTGGCGTCAAGTGAAGAAATTCTGGTTTCATGCTTACTCGGGAGCCAGAAATAAAACCAATCACAAAATCACAATGGTGCTCAGCCATTCTAACCTAAATAGAATGTAACAGGTCATGTTACAAGAAAATAGTCACATAAAATAATTCTATGAAAGTAAAAAATTTCCTGTGTTAGTCTAAAACTTGTTATGTTGAAGGAATGGGTCACCTTAGATATGAATCAGGATGGTCAAACATATTTGCTTTGTGGAAAGCCTAAAATGACTCTTTCCCCAAAGAACCATACTTGGAAACATCAAAAATCCCTATATTACATGCATTCAAAGGAAAATGATGCATTCTTACCTGTGAGAATGACCAGGGACCCACCTACTTCCAAAGGATGTGAGCTGTGCAAAACTGCTATGTTTTCAGGAGGTAACTAGGAATCCCTCACTTCCACCCTGTTCCCTCCTCTTTGGCATTTGCCACTGCTGGTCTCTCCCTTTCTACATGATTGCCTCACAGGAATTCACCCTCTTCCATGCCTGCACAGCTCCTGGAGGCCAGGCACAGGCTTCCAGAACGCCTGGACTTACACTAATGTCTGGTCCCTCTACTTCATTATGGCCTATTCGGAGGTAGAGCTAGAACCTGATCCTAGGACCGTTTAAGTCTTTATTAACTCCATGTACTATGGAAAAACAAAACTTTCCATGATAATCTTTTAATGATCACTATGATTCCCTACAGTATCTGTAAGGTGGCTTATCCACAGTTCTAGGGGACTATCTAAGCACAAAATTCACTTGAAAATGTGAAGAGGGACTTATCATCCCCATCTCCTTCTATTTTGGTGTGCAGGGGTCAGGATGGGATGGGGTGGCTGGTGTTCCTGGCCATTAAAGAGATACAAATTAATACTAACATCTTACTCCAGAAACAATGGCAAGCATCAAGGAATCAAAAAACAACAAATGTTGTTATGGCTGGGGTGAAAAAGAAATGTTGGTGGGAATATAGACTAGTACAATCATTATGGAAATCAGTATGGAGATTTTAACTAAAATTAGAAATTCCGACCTAGCGAGATAGCTCAGTGGACTAAGCAACTGCTTAGGCAAGTGCAGGGACCAGGATTCAATCCCTGGTACTGCATATCATGCTGGCCCTGCCCCTGGGCATGCTAAGCCAGCCACCAAGTCCAGGAGTGGTAGCGCACACCTGTAATCCCAGTACTGGAGAGGCTGAAAACAGGAGGATCACTACAAGTTGAGCTGTATGGTGAGACCCTGGACCAAATACATAAAAAATAAATAAAATTAGAAATTCCATGTGACCCTGCTAGCTATCTTCTCCAAAGAGCTTAAGACATCATACTATAGTGACATGTGCATACTAGTGTTTATAGCTACACAATTTACAATAGCTAAACCCTGAAAACAACCTGGACACCCATCAGCAGACGACTAGACAAAGAAAATGTGGTATCTATACATTGCAATGGAATACTATTGGGCTACAAAGGTGAAATTTGGGACATTTGTAGGAAAATGGATGCATGTTGAATGCAATCAGACACATACCCTAGAGTAAGTACCATACAGTATCTCTCATTTGAGTAAGGCAAAATACAAACCAACTGAGAAATACAGGAAGGCTAGATGGAGACGATGGATCTCTTGCAGATGGGAAGAGGATCAGGAGGCCAAGGGGACAGGATGAAGAAACAGAGCAAAGGTATGCCACGCTCAGGATCCTACCACCTCACTGAATGGGGACATTAGAAGCCATAAACAGGAACAAATAACATCTGTAAGAATGGCAAAGGGAAAAGGAGGACTGGGAAGGGAGAAATAAGTGATTAAAAGAAACACGCTCTGTTATGTACGTGTACTAACTCCCAGGACAGCTATAATTAACGTGTACACAAGTGTAACATGACTACAAGCACATGTTTTAAAAAAAGAACTTCTAATACCTGAAGCAACTGTGCAGCCAGACTCAGCTTCTCCCACATGATGTGACCAATACCAAGACGGGACAAGGGACTCAGGAAACAGAAGGTGGGTATCTGGGAAGCTTTTCATTTTCACTTTCACCTCACAGTGAGATGAAAAAGACATCTTTTGGTTTTTTTATTTATGTATTTGGTACAGGGACTCACTACACAGCATGGGCTCATAGTGATCCTCCTGTTTTCAGCCTCCCCAGTGTGGGATTACAGGCATGGGCCACCACACCTGCATCTGTTCATTGGCTCAGCGCACCCTGGTCCCTGCACTTACCAAAGCCAGACACTTAATCTGCTGAGCTATCTTGCCAGCCTGAAAAAGACATCTTAAAAGCAGCTAAAAGTTGCTATCTTACTGTCTTCTGTTTTTCTGACTCAACTGAAATCACTTAAGTGTCCACTGCAAGATATACAACGCAGGTAACTATCAAGGAAATCTGTTTGGCTGGCATTAACACTCTGTCACCGAACAGCAGACAAGTCTGAGGAGTGGAGGTAGCAGGAGCTCCAGACTCCAGAGACGTCTCCTTGCCCTTTGGCACTGGCTATGGCCACCTTGCACCCCAGTACCCTGTAACTTACCGCAGCACTAGTGTAGTCCCCAGTGGCCAGGGAGCCAGCAGAGCTCATTTCCGCAATGAGCAGACAGCCCCGGTGCAGAGGCAGGCCCACTTCCTGCAGACCCTTCACGACGCCTGAGCCTGGCACCACATGGGCATTTACTACATCTGCCCAGGATGCTATTTTAAAGATACCACCTAAGAAAGAGGGAAAAATATTTGCTCATTCTCAAAAAAACCCCTCTACCCTCTTCCTCTTCCCCAACCACCCAACTATAATAGCAACAGCCATCTAGTAAGTAACATGTTAACAAAGGAATCCAAAACTGCAACAGCTTTCACGTGGACCTGTGGTTCATCTGTAGAACTGATCTGCCCATGAGGTAGCTTAGCAAAGAAAAAAATGCTTCAATTTCTGCACTTGATGTATCAGCAACACTGAGGGAACTTATTCTGAAGTTAGATCCTTGAAACCATCAAGAAAGTCATGCCATTCAAAAGGGACTCCTGTGAAGACGGGCATCTCCTGAGGTCAGGGACAGTGACATCCTGACCCTCCTCTTAAAGATGACCAACTTTAACTCTTCAAGGCTTTCCTAGCAACTTTACATTCTTTATTTGTGTTTCTTATTCTAATTGTGATAGGCAACTAGATACATAATTTTATTTATTTATTGCCTTGTTTTGTTTTTGAAGCAAGGTCTATGAACTGCAAGCTGGCCACGAACTTGCTTATGTAGCCCAGGGCAGCCTCAAAGTTGCAGTGATCCTCCTGCTTTGGCCTCCCACGGGCTGGGATTACAGGCATGCACCAACACGCCCAGCCTAGATATATACTTTTAAAAGCCAACAGCAAAAACCTGAACTGATTTGAAAAAACTACACATAAATGTGTGCAACTCTTCAGCCAATGAACTAAGCTGAGCAACATGACAGTCATGGGATACCTTCAGCACAAGAAAACCCTCATTCATAGACAATCACATTCTAAAGAAACGCTTAAGGAATATGCATGCATTCCCTTGAGAAAAGTTCAGCTGTCTCAAAGATGTTACAGAAAGTATTAAATGACATGACTATCTGTTATGTTTTAAAAATAGCATTAAATATGCACATTATCATAAAAGCAGAAATTTTCATAGGATGGGTAGAACTGATTATTTCCCTAACTAACACATTACTAGCAGGCCTGGGGATCAAGCACCTGGCCCCTGTGCCTGCTTGCAGGTGCTTTAATCTGTGGAGCTATTTGGCTGGCCTGACATTACTATTTTTAAGCCCCAAAACAATTTAAAAAATAATTACAAAACAACTTTTTAAAACGACACCTATCAATAATTCTTTTTTGCTGCAAATAAATTTTATGCTGTTTTTTCATTGTTTTTCTTTTTCTTTTCTTTTTTTGTGGTAGCAGGATTGAACTTGGGACCTTAACACTTGCCCGGCAAGCATTTATTTTACTGAGCTATCTCCCTGGCCCTTTTTCATTGTTTCCTGTATCTATAATTTTCTGCCACAAACAGCATCTGTCATTTCTACCCAATATCTAGGCATCCTTCTGGGGATCGAACCACTGCAACCTGAGGCTGACTGCTTTGTTAAGGCAGCCACTACTTAAAGAACTGAGCTAAGGGGCAGGCCCCCTAGGCATCCTTCTGGTATGAGGTGACCCTCATTTCTCAGGCAGAATTACCACTGCAGGGCTCTCAGTTCAGAACATTTACATACAGTTAATTTAGCCACTCTACATTGGCAAGAGGACCTATGCCCAGGCCGGCAAGTGGAGTTTTTCTACAGCTAAGCCAGAGTGACTGACTAGAGAATTTGCCTACCTGAGAAAGAGGTCAACAGAGAAGAAAGCAGAGCTGAGAGATGGAGAGAAAGCAACTTCAGAAGACACCACCTGAGTCCCTGGATCCGATGGCACTTGATGTCCTGCTCTACGGCTTGACTTTCAGTGGATGGGAACCAGTCTGAGTCCTTTCTTCCTTCAGCCAGTGTAAGCTGGGTTTCTGATTCTTGCATATTTCTGATTTACTTACCTTCATATTGCTTTTTCACTGTGTTTCCTATATCTGCAAATTTCCGGTCTTCAAATATTAAGAACTCATGCTGTTTTGCCAGCGCTGTCAGCTCCTTCATCATATCCAGAGTGAAGTCATCCAAGATATCTACATGCGTCTTGAGCATGCAGATACTGGGCCCTAAGGCATCTGCTAGCTGCAACAGCTCTCTGGCCTCTGAAACATCACCAGACAGACACAGGTTGGTCTCCTTCTTCTGCATAAGCCTGAGAAGCTTAGATGCAACCGGGTGGATGCCAGGCAGCTCTGCACGTGCAGCAAAGCTGAGCTCTTCTGGTGCTTTCTTCAGAGAGAAGAGAGAGCCATTCTGAGGGGCGGCCATAAAAACATTCTCCTGAATGAATTGCTTTACTCTCTCAACCACCTCAGCATCAACTCTTTGCTGCTGCTTGAGAATCTCTAGCATTTGGGAAATTGTGCACACTGCATGTAGCCGGACCCCGTGGGCCTGCAGCTTGTCTCTGCCGCCCTGCTCACGGTCTAGCAGTACCACGGCATCGGTGACCTGCAGGCCCTCCTTCTGCAGAGCCTCAACAGTCTCCAAAACACTAGCTCCACTGGTGACCACATCTTCAATAACAAGACAGGTTTTTCCTGGATTAATAGCTCCTTCTATAAGACGCTTAGTACCTTAAAAAAAAAAGTTGTTCAGTCCAATTTTAAACCGGTGTGGTGGTAGACATCTGTAACCCCAGTACTTGGCAGGCTGAGGCAGGAGGACCAGTATGACTTTATGGACAGGCTGGACTACATAAGACACTGTTTTGAAAAAACAAACAAACGAACAAACAAAAAAACAAACAAGGGCTGGGAGATAGCTTAGTGGAATAAGTGCTTGCCTGGCAAGTTCCAGGTCCTGAGTTTGATCCTTGGTAACCCCCCCCACAAAAAAAAAAAAGGCAACAAACCCCCCTCAATTTTATATGCATTGAACTAAAGAAGACAAAACTAAAAAAATGCTGAGATTTCACAGGGTGCACAAAAAAGCACTTCTTCATTTTCTTGCCTAACCAACACAAAGAATCTTAGCCCTAGACTCTAGAGAAACTTGATTTACATCAACAGCTAGCAAATTCCATACATGAAAACAACTTAAGGGACCTATGATGAATATTAACATGACTAACAGCATCAGTGCACAAGGAAAATGTTCAGATTACATATTAACGGAACACTCATACTTCTTTTACCATAGCTCTTTGTTTCTTTCCTTCTAATGAGTATCGGGATTTGATATGTTGAGCAGATAACAGTAGCCAAAGGCAAAGCTGTATAAGGTACTCCACACACAGTATCGAAACTGATTCCTGCATTTTGGGCAGTTTGGAATAAAATATCTGCAACCTGTAAGAAAAGGAACACAAATTATTATCAACTGATGACTTCTTAAACTGAGTTTTCACTACTAAATCCTTAGTAATTCACTCTGTCTACATAGAGGAAACACACCACTACAAGATTCTGGGTAGTGAGAAGTTTTCAGTCTAACCACCCAACGAGTGCTTCAATTCTTCTCTTTTTTTTTGTCCGCAGCTTTACTTACTTATTTTGGTCTGGCTCAGCCCACCCTGAGGGTGGTGCTGGGATGGAAGCGGTCCCTATGCCTCCCTAAGCTCGTCTAAGCAGGCACTTTAGATCACTGAGCTATCTCGCTGGCCCCAACTCTTTTTATAATAACTACCCATGGTGGGTGACCAACAAACAAAAACCAGTGTATGAAGGGAACTTATGTATTTTCTTTTTTTTTTTTTTTTTGCCACGACTGTCCTTCCCCTTAGGGCTGGGACCTGACTGGGAATGCTGTGCTATTTCCCCAGCTTTTTTTAATTTTGAGACAGGGTCTTGCTAAATTGCTCAAGCTACCCTTAAATGCAATTCTTTTGCCTCAGCCTCCTGTTGTAGTTAAGATTATAAGCAAGTGCCACCACAGCCACCTAGAAAATCTTTCATAAAACTTTCTGTTCTGTCTAGGATAATTCTTTCCAAACTATCTGTTCATTCTAGGATGAAGAAAATGTTTCACATTTATAGTGTCCAACATGGTAGCCACTAATGACTTTGAATTTAAAAATTCATAATGCTGCTTGAAATCCCATCACTGAGAAAGAATTCCAGCTCAACCTGGGCAACTCAAGAAGATACTGCCAAAACAAAATGGGGTGTGTCTGCGGAGAAGGCACAGCCCAATGTAAAGGCCATGGGTTCAGTCCCCAGCACCACTTCTAAACACAAAAAATCGTGATGTTGAATATTCACTTGTGGTTAGTAGCTACTCTTCTGAACAGCACATTTAAACCTACTCAAAGTGTGGTCTGCAGTTCTGGCTTGCCGCTTGTTAGACATGCCCAATCTCTTGCCAGGTTTGGTGGTGCACACCTA